TTCATCCAAATCTGGAGGATTCGCTTGGAGAACTTCAAAGGCTTTGGAACTTGCATGTTTGGGGTACATGCCGCCACCTTCGGAGGATTGAAAGTACTCAGTCCACTTCTTCAGCTCTTCCAAGTCCGGAGGATCAATGGCATTGTTCTCTGTCACATCTCTAAATTTCACTCGATGGAATCTCTCTGCCACATTTGGGACCACAGCCAGGCATAGCAGGAAGGCCAAGTACATCTTAAATATGCAACAGTCGATTTGCAAATGGGAACTAGTTGTCTCTACAGACTCTTTGGATCTCTTTGGAGCCAAAGCACAGATCCGGGAAATACGGATGTTCACCAGGTCAATCCGATCATTTGTGTTGAATGGGGAAGCTTTTCTGTTGCTCTCCACTCTCCTTGCCAGCATCAAGAAGCTCTCCGACCATCCTGAGCTGCTTGCCCAAGCGCTTCAGGTGCTTATCTTCAACCAAAGCACCGATCCTACGCCTTCGGCCTTGGGGATGTCCACCAAGCTGAAGCACTGTTGACAACAAAAGGACGAGGCACGGCTCAATCTCCTCGATAAACTCCTCCACCAAATCCTGTGCTCTAAGGGGCAATGCTTTTCTTCAGCACCAAAGCTAGTTCAAAATGGCCTTGACGAATGAATCTGGCAAGTGATCTCAAACTACAGCGGGGGAAGATGGGGTCCTGCTCGTTGACTGCCACGAAAATCAACCATCGGTCCTTAGCTCCCATTTCTTACTTTTCCCAGACTTCCTTCTGTAGAATTCTTGAGCACCGATGCTGGTAACTGAGCGGCTTTCTGGTCAAAACGAACAGGCAGGCAAACCAGTGATGTGCAATCCATATGTCAGGCAGTGGAGGAATTTTGTATGGCCAAGCAGCCAAGGCTATCTTCTCGCCAGGTCTAGTCCAAATCTGGCCGATGATGCAACTCAAATCAACTCAACACATGAACGTCTTCAGGCCGCAATTGTTTCTAAGCTGATTATACACCTCTTCCTCATGAGTCAGAGTTGGAAAAGGAGGATACGGAATACAACAAAACTTTGATTCACAGCCCGCCCAAAAAAACAACCAAAAGCAGAAAGCTTCTAAAACATCAGTGGCAGTGGATCGAAATGTCAACCAAACCTAGCCCAAAACGGAGCTCCGAGCTCGACCACGCCTCCGGCCAGGGCCGCTGCTCGAAGCCGTCCGGCCAACTGGGCACCTCCAAATCGCTGGGTGGCAAACGCCTCGATCCGCGGAGTTGGAAGAACTTTCTCTTAGTAGCGTCCTTGCTCGTAGTAACAAGTGCATCGCTAGTAGTAACAAGTGCCTTACTAGTAGAAACACGAAGCTAGTAGAAACAATAAGCTAATAGCTTCTTGTTCCTAGTAGTACGGCCAGGAGCCCCTAGTAGCGTCCTTGCTCCTAGTAGCGATGCCAGGAGCCCCTAGTAGCGTCCTTGCTCCTAGTAGCGATGCCAGGAGCCCCTAGTAGCGTCCTTGTTCCTAGTAGGGCGAGGAGCCCCTAGTAGCTTCTTGTTCTTTCTTTTCTTAGCCCGTGGCCCTGCTTCCTTACTTCACCAAGTAGGTGCCTCCTAAATTAAGTAAGGGACAAATGTGTTCGCTCCTAGCTACTTAAGCTTCTACATATAGGATAGCTCATCATTTGGCTCCTAGATCTTTAGTGAAACAGAGGTGAACATCAACGCAGCGCTACTTGGATCAGATCGCTCAAGAGAACAAAAAGGATTCTCAACACAGGGGACCTGACCCAGCAAGGAAGCAGAATTCCAAGCTGTATAGACTCCAAATGTTTGGATATTAGCTTGTGATAGTCTGCTTCATCCTTCACTCGGATGTTGATTTCAGCAACTCAGGGAAACAATTGATTGGTTGTTGCTGGAACCTCTAAACCTCCCCTGTGAACTTCGAAACCTCCGGCTGCCGCTAAGGTGCAATTCCCGGAAATGCTCTTCGGCGAGTGGGCTAAAATATACTGGCTCCTCACTTCGAAACATATTCTTGTACATCTGAATGCACCAACGGTGTATAACGTATAATGTATCAGCAATAATGTCTATACTGTAAATGTCTATTGATCTCATTGCAATAAACAAACGGCATCGGTGACCACGTCGGATGCACAGCAAGCTGGGAAGTCAAACAGGAGCCTGCTATGCCAGTCCTGCGGTAGCTCACCGAAGTTCACCTTCATTGGAGTGGAAGCCACTTTAACACCCCACTCACCTGAGGGACATTGTCTTCAGGTGAAATGATTTCATCCACCAAAAGCTCGAAAAATGTCAGGGGGATGTGATGATGTGGTTTGGCACGCGCTCAGTTTGTTTGGTTGAAAGAGATATCCTTGAGAGAGTGTCTGCTTCTAGTTCTTCAAGTTCGACCCAAGACACGTAGTGCTCGCCCATGGTCTGGCTGATCAAGGCCTTTCATGAGCCTTTCCTGCAACGGAGAGACTTTGAGAGGGGTTGAAGTGGCCACAGACAAAGGCTTTGGGAAGTGTTTCAGCCTTGAAGCGGCAAGAGTATTCCAGACTTCACATGCAACAAGCTTGCATTTTATCACGACAATCCCCACCTGGAGCCTCCAGTGCTCTTGAGGAGTATGGCGAAGGCTCTGCCACAGCTCCCAGGAAAAGTCCTGGACAAGGCTCAGCCTGTCGTTGTTACTTGTGCTAAAGCATCTACAGTAAATCCCATATATATATATATGTACCTGAGAAAGGAGAGGACGAAAGCCAGCGAGGGACCAATATGGTAGTGCAAGACTGGGAGGAAAAAATAGCGGAGCACTTATTGTTGAATGCCTGTAGCGTTCGTGGAGCTTGTATCAACGTGGAGTAGATCAAGATCGGAGCACAGCATGAAGTGTTGAATGTTTTAGGTTTTTTCGATTTTCCTGGCGCGGTGCTCTCTGGAGCGTCCCTGTTTGGTGGTCTATTTGAAAATCCGTGTGTAGAAATAGACGTCAGTGAAGACCAGGAGAAGGATGCCCGAAAGGTGGTTTTTGGTTGTTTTGAAGTGTGTTTCGGGCATCGTGCATCAATGCGAAGCCTTATAAAGAGCAGGGCTGGGAGGAAAAAGAGGGCACTCATTCTTGAATGGTCGTAGCTTTTGTGGAGCTGGCATCACTGCGACGTAGATGAAGATCGGAGCAGCATGAAGTGTTGAATGTTTTTAGTATTCTTGATTTGCTTGGTGCGGCGCCTTCTGGAACGTCCCTTGTTGGTGTTCTAATTGAGAGTCCGTGCAAAAAAAAACGTCAGTGAGCACCAGGAGACTGATTCCCGAAATGGTTTTTTGTGGTTGTGTTGAAATGTGCTTCGGGTATCGTGCATCAATGCGAAGCCCTATAGAGAGCAGGGCTGGGAGGAAAAATAGCAGAGCACCTATAGTTGAAAGCTTGTAGTTTCGTGGGGCTGGTATCACTGCGACTGAGATCAAGATCGGAGCACAGCATGAAGCGTTAAACGCTTGCAGCTTTCTTGCTTCTCCTCTTGCGGCGCTCTTATCCCCAAGCCTCCACCTCGCCCAACTGGACATACTCATATCGTTCACTCCCAGAGCGTTCACTCTTTGTTGCTTGGTCCTTCTTGGTATGATCAGAGCTACACAATCCCTATGCCCTGCTCAGGACTAGAAAAATTGTCTCCAGACCCCTTCATGATGCTAATGATGCACTACTCGGCGTCATTTACATCACTTGCATCACCAAACCACTTTTTCGATGCTTTCCTGACCCTATTTTTTGAACGCTCTCCCCCACCAGGCTCAAGGTTCGACGGCCTCTGCGCGACCACCCCCCCCACAACACCTTTATTCACTTCGTTCACCCTACAAACTCAAGCCTTGCCTATCGGCTGGCTTTCGTGACATAATTATAGTTGTGATGGAAGCCAGCAAGGTGGAAAGAAACACTCGCAGTAGCGACTCCGGCCACTCTCTATTTTGTTGGCGAAAGGACGCGGAAGGTGTTGGGTGTTCGACAGATCAAAGGGCTTCCGAAGCCATCTAGAACTTTGACCATATGGAATTGAAGTGCCACAAAGCCACAAGGTCTGAGAAGAGGTCTTCCCAAATGGTTTCAAGGCAGCTATCAAACAATGATCATACTGGGAACAAGAAGCTACGAGGGGCTCCTGGCATCGCTACTAGGAGCAAGGACGCTACTAGGGGCTCCTGGCCGTGCTAGGAACAAGAAGCTAGGAACATTTGTTTGAAAATCCGCCCGCACGGAAGGTGCTGAGGCGTGTTATAGGGTTCGCATGATTCCGTAGTACCGATGGTACTAACTGTAGCGTTAGCTAGGGGGTGGGGCCATTTTCGCTCTAGAATCCTGTGTTTTTCACGTTTTTCGAATCGGCTTAAAGTGCTTTCGCGCTAAGGTTGGGTATCTTGAAGGCTTCAGGGATGCAAGAAATGCGAGTCTCTGCTTTGCATCATCTGCATAATCTGGACATTGGGCTGAACAGGTTCCCCTAACGGGGCTCAACATAGCTTCCATATTGCGTAACCACTATCTAACGGACGTGTCTGCGAGATAGGGACTTGAACGTCCGGG